CTAGTGGTGGGAGTTCTCGGCCGAGCCCTATCCCGAACCAGATCTTTCCCCACTCCCCGCTCCCTCCCCCACTTCTCCCTCTTCCCTCCCTCCACCCCCTCCCTCCCCCCAGACGGTGACGACGACCACGGCCTCGACGACGATGTTGTTGGACGTTGGCGACGGCGTTTTCGAGACGACAGCGTCACCGTTTACCCCATCGACGGCGACGACGGCGAAAACTCGAAGGGCGACGACGCCGACTCCGTCACGACGTGACCGCCGCCGCCGACAACGTCCCCGACCGCCGCGGCGGCGCTGACGACGAAGCCGACGGCGATGCAGACAACCACGCCGACGACGACGCCGACGACGACGGCGACGACGACGGCGACCTGGACGGCGGCGACGGCGGCGAGGGCGACGGCGCCAGCGGCGACTGCGACAGCAACGACCGCGACGCCCGACGCAGGCCGCGGCGGGCGCGCCCCCTGGCCGGCGGGGTCCGCCAGCGTTGGTTGTCGCTGGGCGCGTCGCCGCGGGCGGGGCAGACGCCGAGGCCTGGCGCGCCCGTCTCTGCCGTTTCCGTCGGTTCCGTCGGCGTCGCCGTCGTCGTCGCCGTCGCCGTCGCCGTCGTCGTCGACGTCGCCGCCTGTTCGACCATCCAGGAGATAAGTTTGCCAGCAAGGACCCCGAACAGTGGGTCCCTGCCCTGGCGATGTGCAACCTTTGTGGTGCGGCTTCTGTTTCGCCTGGTGCACACTATGTGATGCACGCTCATGCGACGCAAGGTGTGCGGTGCAGTGTGCGCGATGCCTTCGTCGGGGGCGCACGAGGCGGCGCACGAGGCGGCGACGGGCGGGCACTGGGGCGAAAGCCCAGGGAAAGATCCAGCCAGAGCACGGGGCGGCCGCCAGGCTGAGACGGGCGGGCCTGGGCAGAACACGCGAAGACCCGTCCGCGCCCTGGCAGCGCGAAGGCGGCCAGGAGCGATCATCGCAGGTTTGTTTTCCCCTGGGTCTGGGTCGGGGGCTGCGGCTCGCAGGCCAGAGGGAGTTTAGGCACCCTCGCAGCAGATTGCGGGCACAGGGAGCTGTTGTGCCCTCCTGGCACCCACGTCGGGGGCCTTGGGACTGGCCGGACGAAATGGGATTACGAAGTCTGCTGCATGCAGCTGGTTTCGGCCCCGCCGCCCGGCCCATTCCTTGATAATTGGGCGCCTCCCGGCGCCAGGAGGCGCCAGGAAAACCAGCTACGTGAGCTGATTCTCTATCCTACCCTTTGCTATCCTACCGTTTGCACTGACCCGGGTCAGTAGAAGCCCGAGAACCCAGTCAGCGAGCGGGGCGGCCACGGGGCGGCGACGGGCGTCCACCCAGCGATGAATTTCTTCCAAGGGAAAGAGGACCGCCTTGGTGCAAGCACACCTGTTGAGGAATCTGCAACAAAAAACGGCCCCCGGGAAGGAAGTTTGCGAATTGAGTGAATCACCTCGCCAGAGGTGTTGGGACAGAGGTCTTCGGCGGGGGGCCCACGGTGGCGCCGACCGAATGGCAGCTCCGAGCCGAGGCCAGAGGAGTCAGGTTCATCCCCACGTTGGCACAGCCGCAGCCCGATCCTCATCAGTGAGCTATGAGACTAGAGGTGCAGGCCAGCATGCAGCTGTCGCGTGCAAACATCTCTCTAAGGGAGCTGGGATGCTTCTCGTCTAAGTCAAGCGCTTGTTCGAGCAGTTCGGAGGTCCGTCATTGCCTCCACAGGACCTCGATACAGATACTATTATTTGCACGCGTGACAGAGGCGCCTTGCCCTGAAGGGCGGGCCCCGAACCTGTCCCAGGGCTTGCTCCGGATGTGATCCCGACCCGGATCCCACGGGAGGCGTGGAGGCCCCAAGAGGGCGGCGGCAGCGGCTCCCGCCGGTCCCATGGAGCCTCCGCAGCTCCTGGGAGACGAGCCCTCCTCCCTCTCCTCTCCCCTCCCTCGACGATCGACGCTCGATCCATACCCCTGCTGCTGCTCCTCATTCTGGGCGGCTGGGGAAGCAGGGCATGGATGATAAAACATGGCCTCGGAGGCCAGGAAATTATCCATATCTCCGCTCTGGCTCCTCGTGGGGCCGGGCCGGGAGCAGGGGCACGGATAGATCGCCTGTTCTTTCCCCATCGTCGTGCGTTGTCTTCGTCGTTGTCCTCCACCGCTCCAGGTCGGCCTCTGGGCCCCCTCCAGGGGCCCGTCCCGACCAGCGTCTCCGCGCCGCGCGCGGCCGAGCGCCCCAAGAGCGTTCCAACAGTCTCCGCAGCGGTGGCGGCGGTGTCGTCGTCGCGGCGGCGACGACGACACCGCTGCGACGGCGACGGCGACGGCGGCGGCGTCGCGGCGGCGACGTGACCAAGGGGAGGGGGAGGGGTGGGAGCGGCAGGGTCTGGTCACGCGACGGCGACGGCCCAGCGAAGGCGATGGCGGGCGGCAGCCTCGGCGGCAGTTGCGGCGGCCACGCCGGCGGCGACGCCGCCGCGTCG